GATCTTTCTAAAGTGATACTTAAATTAGAACCCATGGCATATTGTAAGAAATTCATCGTTGAGTTTATTACTTGTGATTTTTGCTTTTTCAGAATAGTAATATGATTTATTTCTAAGTTTTGTTTTGTATTGTTTGAGTACGAACAAATGTTTTAATTTGGGGTGTTTGTTAAGTATATTTTGTATACTTGTTCGGGTTATATTACTAAGTTTTCATGTAGTTCAAATATTGAATTCTACTTAACTTGAGTTGTTAATTTTCTTTTGTTTCAGTGTTGAACTCGTTTTGGAGCAATTAAAAAAAAAATAATGATCAATTGGCCGTTGGATAAAAAATTGGGAGTAATATTCCACACTTTGGAAATTGAAGGACTTGAACTAAATTAAAAAAAAAAAAAAAAAAACCATTGGTTGCACAATTAATTGGGCTCAAGGATTGAATTGTATTATTTTAAAATAATTGAGGACTTGGAGAAAATAAAGTATAAATGGGCCTCAACATGACTTGCACTTGGGCTGAAATTCAATTACAATTTGGATGTCTAATGGGACACCACAACAGGGGAATTCCGCAGAGAAAAAGAGAGAGCCACGCACGGTAAGTTTAATTAGGCCATGTTTGAGCCACATTATAATTTTAATATATTTTTTTCTCATCTTTTTAACCACACATTTTCAAATAAAATAATATTACATGTAAAATCAAAACTTTTTCTTCTTTTTTAATCAAACATTTTTCAAAAAAAATTACTATTCCAAAATACATTTTCACCAAAAATACATTAAAATGGATCCCAAACAGGGGATAGGAAAATTAATCATGTTCCGTCAATTTATTGGTGATATCGTTTTATTTTTATTTGTTTAATTTCGATATTATGCTAAGTTAAATTAATTTTGTGTGCTAGGATTACGATGAAACTTATATCATGAACCTTTATATAATGATTTTACATCTTTTCGACATTCAAAGTATGTTTAATTATTGAATGATTGACATGAATTTAATTTTCTCTACAAATATATGTGCAATAGTTGTATGAATTTTGTGAATTAATTTACCTTCAAAAGATTGAAAATAAGTTAGACATAGTGTCAATGTCGTAGAGTCCGATAAGAGATATAAATATACCGCTATATTTTACGTGATCTTTAAGTATTTATAAATCTGTAATACATTTTCATATTTTCGCATCCATTATAGAAATATAGTTGTACCACATATAAGAATATGTTTAATTCTATTCGAAAGAGATTGTTAAACAAATTAGAAATATTGATCTTCATAATTGAATCGTGTTGTCAAATTTATAAGTTTCGGGTTAAAGGGGATTCAGGATCCTAATATGCTTTTCATCATCGTATTTTTATAGAACTTGCATTTATTTAGTTAAGTTAGGTTTTGTATTCATAAGTAACTTATTTAATTTATAGGAAAAATCACGAATTTCAATTGTTTCGGTTAATGGTAAATTAATTTGAATTTGAATTAGTACATCTCTGTGAAAACGATACTTGGATTCAAAAATCTATTTTACTATTTGTTAACGAACCGTGTACTTGCGGTATTTAAAACGAACAAATATTTCATGATAGAGGTGGTGGTTGGGTATTGTGATAAAGGAGATAATGGTGGTGGTGATGTGGGTGAGGTGTGCGGTAGCGGTGGTGTGAGCATGGTGGTATGGTGGTTTTGTGGTTGGTATGGTAATGGGCAAGGTGATGTTGGTGCTCATGGTGGTGTGTGTTCTGGTGGTGAGAGTGGCGTGGTGAGTGCTTGCAATCAATTATTTGGGAGTTGCGATCAATAACTTGTTAATTTGTAACATGTAAATATTATGTGATCTAAAAGATGTGTGATTGTGATTAAATTTTTAATTGTGAATCAGAATTTGATAAATTGTGACCAATAAATTTAATAATTTGTGATTGTGAAATTAGTTGTGACGTATGAAATTTATGATTTATGATCGTGAAATAAGTTGTGATCTATAAAATTTGTGATTTGTGAGCGATAAATATATTTTGACTTATAAAATTTATTATTTGTGACCAAAAAAATAATTCATGATTAATTAATTTGATAATATGTGACCGAAAAATACGTTGTAACCTATCAACACGTAATTGTAACCGTAATATATTTAATTAATTATTTCATAAATAAAACTTAATTAATATCTGATTTTTGAAATAATAAACATTGTTTCTTAGTTTTGAAATTAGTTATACTTAATTTCATATGATTACGTTAGCAAGGGGGTATATGGCCCATTTGGTTTGTATTTTAATTTTCAATTTTGAGGTCATTTGTAGGTTTTTAGTTTTGAGTTTCTTTTCTTTCTTTCTTTTATTTTTTATTTTTTTGTGGGTCTATTTTAACATTTCTAAAAATGTGTTTAATTTCTCATTTTGAAAAATTATTGCTCAAAATAGAAAATTAGAGAACAAGTTTGATTTAAAATTTTAAACAATTGTTTTATGACATTTTATTTCATTAAATTTTATTATTCAATAAAAATAGAACATATTGGGTAAAATAAAAATAAATGATAAATTGAGTTCAAATTATAGAAAATAAAAATAAAAAATAATGACGTGGACTAATAATATTTTTATCTTTGTTTATTTTAAATAATTTTTAGAATTTTCATATAAATAATCATTCAGAGTTTGAATTATTATTATTATTATTTTTTTTTGGAAATTTTTGTAATTTTTTTTTAAAAGATTTTTTATTTTTAATTTTTTTTAATTTGAATTTTTTAATTGGATTTTAATTGTCAAATTTTATATTTTATTTAAAAGATTTTTTTTTTTAGAGTGTTTTCCGAATTTTTACTGAAACACTCAAAATGTCAAAAATACGTTTTGAATTATATATAATAAGTTTATCCTTTTTTTTTTTTCCGAAAATGTAATTTGAAATATATATGACCAAACACGTTTTCATTGTTTTGCAAAATAGAAAACTGCTTGAAGACAATAAACCAAATACGCTCTAAAATTTGTCTATTACCAATTTAAATAAGAAATTTACAAAATACACCTACACATAATGTATAGATAAATATGCATTTCTCATACTACATTTTACATGAAAGGTAATAAAAGACACCATTTGCTAAAAGCTTTTAAAAAATATACATACGGCAATAAAATAGCTCAAAAGACAATAACAGTATAAAAATATCCTTAATCGAAAAGAACAAATCACACTTTTACATTCGACTTTTTAGCAATTGATGTTTTATTAAAAAACTTGTTGATAGAGATTTTTCAAATGAAAAGTGTTATTTATTTATTTGAAAAATGATGAAAAGTTGTGGGTCTCATAAAATGTGTGATTACAAATGATTTTAGAAAAATATGTACTAAACAAGCTTAAATGTTTTTTCCCGAATGTAAGATTAATAAAATTTATTATTTTCTTTCCCAAACTCTAATTTAAAATCAATAGATGCTAATTTTTTAATTAGTTTATAATTAATGTTGATCAGTTAGAAGAGAAAATCATAAAATAATTGAAATAAAAAAGAAGAAATTAAAAGGATTTGCGAAAACTTGTATAACTTTCAACTTATGTATCGAATTTTCGCAAGCGAGTGTGACCTGGAGACCTTTTTGATTCTGCACATTTTGCAGAGACAGGGTTTGGCCCTCAGCTCACATCGTCCAACTTTTGGGGTCAAATTCCATACTCAAGGGATCCGTTAACGTTTTTTTATTTTGAGTTAGTTCAAGGGTTCTTTTATCATTTTTGCAGTGTTAACCAAATTTGTCTACCAAGTTAGGATTTCAATTTGATTATGATTTGTTTTGAGTCTTTAAATACGTTTTAAGGGTTTGAAAATTCTACATTCGTTTTTATTAATAATATTACAATTTTTTGTAAAATTTGGTGGATTTCAATAATTTTCACGTTCGATCCAGCGAAGTATGAGTAACACCCATTTGCATGTTACAAATAATAATTTTTATAGTATTCACATTTCCATTTTGTCTCAATAACGTATTAAAAAATATAGGAAAACTGCATTTGAGTGGAAACAATAGAAATTAATTTTAGGGAAAATTGTAGCAAGGTACCTTCATTTAATTGCAGACTTTGTTCAAACATTTCATTTGTGTCACATGAGGCACCAAACTTTTAAAAAAATCGCAACTCTAGTCCATATTGACGGTTTCTGTCTATTTGACTGCCAAAATCGTTAGTTGACCCAAAAAAAAAATTAATAATTTTCATCAAATAGATAAGGGCAATTTGAGCATTGCACATTTTCTCTTTCTATTGTCATTCATTTTCCTTATTTTCACTTCAGCATTAGCTTCACTCCATCTATCTGCTTTTACACTTTCTCCAAGTAATTAATTCCACACACACAAAGGAGCCATTTTATTGTGTGAAGTTTCTTGCAAAGTTACACATCAAGAACCGAAAAGAAAGAAATTCTTAGCTTTTTTCATAGATTGAAAGTACAAGAACGAGAATGGTAGACGTGGACAGGAGGATGACCGGTTTATATATATATTACTTTATACTTAAAAGTTAGTACCCCATATAATTTTATTAAAAAAAAAATTAAAAAGTCATTAACAATTTGAATACTTCAAAACTTATAGAGACTTTTAAAATTTGTTAATTAAATACATAAGGACTTTTAAAGACTTTAAAATTTTATAAAAGTTTGATTGAATACACCAATATTTTCAAAAAGTCTACATTTAATATTTCTAAACCTTTTAAATCTTGAAAAGTCTTTAAAAATGTCAATTAAATATATCCTTCGCCTTACATGCATGATCTATTTTGTTTGAGATAACTATTTTAGTGCCGCACTCATAGCGTGATTAAATAAAGCACATAAAATTTACAAAGGTACACTTTATTCAAGTATTCATATTTACATGGACAAACATCAATACATAACCACCAATCAACTCATCATGCTTCAAAGACATGAAGGGGTGCCCTCAAAAATTTCAAACATAAAATTAAATTAATGAGACGACACTGCACACACCGGAGGAAAAAGATTGCCAGTAAGTTTAGGCTTAACATTAGCACATTCTGATATCGCAGTTCCGTTGATTCCATGGTACACCAAATTAATGTCGTTTAATGCTACGTTCTCGCACGGAATTCCCCTGCTACAAAAAAGTTTCACTGCTAATTGGGTCGCCGATGTCCCTTTAATGGCGTTGAAACTCACGTCGCTAATCTTAACACGAGATGGAACCTCAGCTTTGCATTGACCATATGGGCAATATTGTTGATCGATTAAGATAGGCGTGCTAACATTGTTCATGACAATGTTGTCAAAACTCAAGCTTCGTGCTACACCAACAGTTGAAGCAGGCCATGTTTTCACCCTTATTCCGTTCATCGTGTTTGTGATCGTACAATTTCTTACAGTTATTCCCTCAACGGGTTGTTCGTTTTGGTACTTTCCTAGACTTCCAATGCTAATGCCATGACCAGGACCACAAGTCACTTTCTCGATGTTTACTTGTTGGCAACCATCGCCAAGGGAAACACAATCATCTCCTGTTTTTATGTCTGCATCGGTGATGTTGACCCCGGTCGACCGTCCAATGTGTATCCCATCGGTGTTTAAGCTAATCTCGGGTGCATTGATCGTAGTACGTTGAAATGTCACATTTTTACAGTTCAAAATGTTCATGTGAAACAACTTGCTATTTAAGGAAGTAATGCTTCGAATTACAGAATTGGTCAGCTTGTTGAACGCCAGATTCTGTTCCAAGTAAACACACGTGATTCGTCTGACAAATCAAAGATCCCAACTAGCAATCAACTTTTCATAATAAATCTTTTCTTTTTCAAACTAGGTTTGACATGACAATTTAATAAAGATTTCTACTATGTTATTGAAACAGAACATACTATTGGAAGGGAATCACAAGTTCCCGTTTTTGCGCAATCGTTTTTGCTCCAAGCAATGGCTCCTTGACCATCAAAAGTTCCTCCTTCAACTGTCAATCCATTTACATTGTTGAAAACAATCCAACTATCCTGAGACTTGAATTTTGCTGGGTCTGCTGGTGCCTTCAATGTTCCGTCAATCTTAATCGTGATTGGTGCTTGACACGGACCCTGGAATTTTACGGCTCCGACCATATAATTTCCTTTCGGGATCACACCCTACTCTCTTTCCTTGACATGCCTGCCTCTTTCCATGCATTTTCAATTGCCTGCATACAAATAAAATCATTCTAATTAACATTACTAGTACAAATTCGACCACCATCTCTAGACTTGTTGTCCTATTGCCGACGTGTCAAAAAGATACCGAGTTTGCAACAACAAATCTCATAATTAACATACCTTGTTGTCATCTGATTTGCCATCAGCCTTTGCACCATATTTTTTGACATCAAAATCATTCGCCTGATTTCCCTCTATCAAACCCATAAAACACCATATCAAGCATATAGCTTTAATGGACGCAAAACGGATCTCATTTTTCATTCTTCTTTTGTCTCTCTTTTTCGATAATTTGGTATGTATCTTTATTAATTGCAAAATAACGTATATATAGTAGATCTATAGAAGTAACAAACCACAAAATCTTCTATCTAATTTTAGATAATACTATCTTCTGTGGTCTATCTGTTTTCTTTGTTGAATGGTGTTAAGACTTTTTTCCTCCCTTGTATTTAGGAAGACATGGAAACTGCTCAAACACCTAGTTATACGGTAAATACAACTACGAATTAAGTCCCGTTATCAATAAATATGAAAACAAATACGACTAAGTGTTGGGATAATTAAATGCGTAGTGGCATATGCGATCAAAGCCGATGATAGTAAGCTGTCTTCCATCCTGATGTCCAATGAAACTATCCATATAATCATCTGCCATGTGAAACATAGATCATTGCGGATGAATAATTTATAACCACCAATGCCGCGAGTGTATGGATCGTTCAAGTAATAAAAATGGGTTTTTAAGTCCAAATATCGTTCCCACAGAGATTGAGTTAGTTCAAGTGTTAGCTATCGTGACCTTAACCGAAACTTAAGTGAATTCAAGGGGATGATCAAACTATGAAGTTATCTAAATTATACTAGGAATGCAAGTTTAAGTGAAGGTAAACAACCAAGTGCAAGTTACGAATTGAATGCAAATGCTTGATGAAATATATGTATGAAAAGCGTACCAGGATCCCGAATACCCAAGTAAGCTCACCATTAACGTCTTTGTCACAATTTGATATCACAATGAATCGATTGAAGAGTCAATGTTCCTAAAATATTCAACAATCTCTCTCGAGTAGAGCTAAACCTATTCTCGCATACCATTTGACTATATCTCTATGACAAATGCCAATATACAAGAACGCATAACGTTTTATGAACACTTAAAGACTCAAGTAAAGCATAGCGGTATATCTCTATCCCCTATCGAACCCTACGATGATTTATACCTTGTAGGATCTATTCCCCTTATTTCGAATACATGAAATTGACCACCCAAACTCACATAATCATTGCGCATATAATTATGGAGGCGATAAAGAGAATATAAACCATTCAACATCAAACATTCGTGCTTAAATCAAATTGCAAACAAAGAATTAAAGGCTCACAATACGAGGTTCATCGTTCACCTAGTACAATAAAAGTCTAGCCTAGCATGGATAAAATAAAATAACAAAGAAAATACTTTGGAGAAGATATCATCCAATTCTTGAATATAAAGCTTGAAATCTTGGATTTTCGAATGAAAATCTTCGTCCTAGCCTTCGATCTTGCTCAATAATGTTGTTTTTCTCTCTAGGAGGGCGTAACCCTAGCTTCTGGACGTTCGTCGAGTTATAAAGGAGTCCTAGATCTTGTTTCCAAAGGAGTTTGAATCAAATAAGGAAAACTGAAAATTCGCTGAAATTTCCTTCTATGCGACCGCATAGAAGACTTCTGTTGTAGCTTGAAATTCTCTGCATGCATTAATGCGATTGCATGCCATTAACACTATGCGACCGCATAGTGTTATCTTCTTTTAAAATGTAACAATTTGGTCCTTCAGCTTCACTTGTCCACTTTTTAGTTCTTNCCGCATTCGCCAATCATGCCCTGCAAACACAATTTATAACAAATTAAGCTGTGTTTCACACATAAAACGACGAATATCCAAGTTTATGAATCGATAAAAACATACAAAATACACTCTTATCAACTCCTCCAAACTTGAATCAGTGTTTGTCCTCAAACTATATCATAACTTAGTTTGCACGACACATGGTTCAACAATCTGCCATTTCTCAGGATTGGAGCTTAGTATGAAACAACATGAGTAGCTACAATCGTGCAAAATCATATCAATCTCCACATGTTACATGAAAACTCGATGTGTGTGTGTGTGTGTAAACTCATACCAACATATCAGTATCATGATTGACTCATTCCCGACCCCAGTGGTCAAATTTTTGCTTTCATCGCTCGAAAGAAACACACTTCCCCCAAACTTATTCTTTTCACTCAAGTATCCCGGGGGTAGTTCCTAGGTTGAACTCATCTATATTTATTCCTCTCTCTCTCTTGATTCAGATGTATCATACTGTCACAAGTTCACACTTTAAAAAGTAGAGGTTTTCCTATTTTTGATTCCTTCAACCGTTGAGATTGGATTCAGCTATTTGATTCGTATCGAGGATATAGTTCCATCAACCGGATGCTTGGGGCTAAAAAATGATTTCTATGCACAAGAGTACATGTGTTATTTGCAGAATTTTTTTTTTTAACGACATCTTTCATTTGCTTTCTACATGATCCTTGTAGCGAGCTTTAGGCCGATGATTCCCAAGTCAGATGACCATAGGGCACCAGGTTTTAAACCCTTGCAGGCTTAATCACTCCAGTTATATAGGTTCGAACATGTGTCTTTTTATATTTAATGATTAGTGTAATGCCCTTATTCTTTTTAGCCTTCCAGTCTCTAAAACTAATCCCTGACTCGAAACTTTCACTTTATTTTCATATCATTGGTCTCAGAGAATCCACACAACTTAGCAAGCAAGGAATCTCTACTCATCTCAGTGTTCTCTAGTAAAAGTTTAATAACACCCAAACTATTCTAATCGTTGGTTATGGTGTCGCACATAAGAGGTTTTCTGGGTGTAATCACTATGTTCACCTATTTCTAGATCATGGGTCAAATCATTCAACTAATACACCAGCATGAGCATCGTGCGCAGAATAAATCAAGTTCTACATAAGTATGTATTGATTAATCTAAAAACAATTTTCATCACCCACGGTCCATGCATAGTTCAATATTACTCATCACAGTTGGCAANTGACTCATATCCGAGCTCAGTGGTCAATTTTCGCTTTCATCGCTCGAGAGGAACACTCTTCCCCCAAACTGATTCTATTCACTCAAGTATCCCTGGGGTAGTTCCTAGGTTGAACTCATCTATATTTATTCCTCTCTCTCTCTTGATTCAGATGTATCATACTGTCACAAGTTCACACTTTAAAAAGTAGAGGTTTTCCTATTTTTGATTCCTTCAACCGTTGAGATTGGATTCAGCTATTTGATTCGTATCGAGGATATAGTTCCATCAACCGGATGCTTAGGGCTAAAAAATGATTTCTATGCACAAGAGTACATGTGTTATTTGCAGAATTTTTTTTTTTAACGACATCTTTCATTTGCTTTCTACATGATCCTTGTAGCGAGCTTTAGGCCGATGATTCCCAAGTCAGATGACCATAGGGCACCAGGTTTTAAACCCTTGCAGGCTTAATCACTCCAGTTATATAGGTTCGAACATGTGTCTTTTTATATTTAATGATTAGTGTAATGCCCTTATTCTTTTTCGCCTTAAAACCCTTGCAGGCTTAATCACTCCAGTTATATAGGTTCGAACATGTGTCTTTTTATATTTAATGATTAGTGTAATGCCCTTATTCTTTTTAGCCTTCCAGTCTCTAAAACTAATCCCTGACTCGAAACTTTCACTTTATTTTCATATCATTGGTCTCAGAGAATCCACACAACTTAGCAAGCAAGGAATCTCTACTCATCTCAGTGTTCTCTAGTAAAAGTATAATAACACCCAAACTATTCTAATCGTTGGTTATGGTGTCGCACATAAGAGGTTTTCTGGGTGTAATCACTATGTTCACCTATTTCTAGATCATGGGTCAAATCATTCAACTAATACACCAGCATGAGCATCGTGCGCAGAATAAATCAAGTTCTACATAAGTATGTATTGATTAATCTAAAAACAATTTTCATCACCCACGGTCCATGCATAGTTCAATATTACTCATCACAGTTGGCAAAATTGTCAAACTCACCCAAGCACGCAAAACTTTTTTTTTTTTTTATAGCTAGCACACAACAAAACGAAAATGTAGAAAATAATAGACTCCACCCCCAAGCTTAAATGACACAGTGTCCTCAATGTGGGATGAAAGAAAACAGCACACAATAAAGCGAAAAATGTAAAATAAAACACAAACGCCCCTAATCAGTGCTGTGAAGGAGGTGGAAGATCTGGTGCATTAGTGTCACCAGTAGCTGGTGGAGGTAGGCGGGCAAATATCTGTCTCAGGAGCTCCGATTGGTGGGTCAGCTCAGTGTGCATCTCCCGAACAACAGTCTCAATAATACCCAGACAATCCCAAGAGTCATTTGCGTGCATCTGAATGCCATCAACGCGGCCCACGTAGTTGTTCAGTCGTCCATTCATAACCTCTACCTTGCGTCTGGTGGCCAAGGCTTCACGACTGGCAGCCCCGGCGAGGGTCCGACAGTAATCATATTATCTCGAATGGTCTCCAAAGTGGCACCCATCACACCCACAGTCTGTCCAAGCCCCTTGATGTCTCTGCCTGATGTAGTCATCGTTGCAAACAGCTGCCAAAACAGCTACGTGTCAACCTCTAATGGTGCCTGTGGGGGTGGGAAGGCATATCAACATCCTAATCATGGGCAGCCGGCTGCTATCTCTGGCTTGCCTGCTCCTGGGCTGCCCTATGTTTCGCCCAAGCACAATCTTGTGATTCCAAAGTTGTCATCTTAATGAAAGGACTGGCTCATTCGGGAAGCTCCCCTGATGAGAACGTAATGAAAGGACTGGCTCATTCGTACGTCCCAAAAGAACCTCATTTGGGCTCATTCGGGAATGGTCACGCATTCGCACGTTCCAAAAGAACCTCAGCGACAGTTTCCCAATGGAAGTTACATGGAATGGGAGTGATGTTTGCCCAAGTGAGACCATAGAAGTCCTGGATGACCTCCGGTGTGAACATGATCCATCGATCTTGTACCCAAGTCTGATGTAGATGTTCAGGGCCGAGAGTGTCGATGCCCATGTTGAAGTTCGGATAAAATTCCTGGACCAATCCCTTATAAATTGGGTGTGGGCGATCAACAACCTTTTCCCACCCACAATGCTGAACCAATAATGTCAGCTTAAACCCGGGGAAATCGGTCAGTTTAACAGGCCGTTCAG